GGAGGGGAGGAGGGTCTCGAGAGGGAAGTTTATGGAGGCGTCGGGATCGAGGAGTCGACGTCGATTGTTCGGTAGTTGATGGTTGACATGCTTGGGAAGGGGGTATTTTTTGATTTTCGTTTGCGGTGCTGTATGAAATGAAGTGTAGATGGACGGGATGTGGGGTTGGGTGTTGCGTCGCGATTGAAGTTGGATTGTGCAAGTAGTTAGTTAAGTGAGTAGGTGAATTCTTAGAAGCGGCCTTGGGAGTATCAAGTATTGGAATAAAGGTTGGTAGCAACAATTGGATTGAAAAAGGTGCTCCGAACTGGCTATTTGGTTGGGAGGTGCTGACGTTGGAGGTTCCTGTCGATGAGGGTCCAAGGCAGCAAGGCTCCAACGAGTTTAGTTGATAGTAATATGGAGTGGCTGACTTTGGCCATATTTCTGTTCTTCTAATGATCTTATCATTTTCCTTTGCGCACATTATTGATTGTAGTTCAAGATGTAATTATTTTTCAAATATTTCGATTCGTCATTCAGTACATGCATAACCTCTAAAACGCTCATTCATAGTGTACAAAATCATGAAAATAATCATTAACACCTCCCAGGTAAATCGAGGTGCTTCAACAAGCTTCCCAGGGTATATGTACGTAAGTTATATTCAGGGGCAAATGAAAGAATGAGGAGACATTCCGCCCACTTGAACCAAAGGAAAAACCACCCAATGCAAGTAACTAATCAAACACGCTCCAATAAAGGCCCAGAACACCGGCGTCCAGCCTGGAAACATGGCGGATAATGCAACGGAAACAATAATACGCATGCCCAACAGTGATCCCAATAGTCAATACATCAACTTTAGCCTAACTTGGCCCAGTTAACGTGATTGGGGGCAGATTGGCATGTGCTGGTTGGGGGGTTTTCTCACCCTCCTCTTTCTCGAACTTAGGAGCCTCTTCATCGTAGGTCTCTGCCTCAGATTCGTCTGTGGACGGGTCCTTTTTGACGAACTTGGATTTGATGCGCGAGCAAAAACGTCGGAACGGGGCCCAGATTGCGGAAAACATCCTTCCCACTGGAGAGAACACGAATGACATGGCTTTTGCGAACGGCCTCCAAACGAAGGCAACAGCTCCAGTGGCACCATTAAAGACAACTGCAAAATGTTTGTCGGGGATGCAGCGCAGTACGATAGCCCATGGAAGACAAAAGACTGCACAGAGAATGCAGATCGCCCATTGCACACCGTCGAGGCGAACAACACCAATGGCAATGCCGCCAATGAAGATAATCATGATCTGGCCACCAATCATAAGACAGTTGATGCCCATAAACCAGTAATTTTTCAACATGCCCTCGAAGATGTTGAATTTATTGTCAAGCCGGCGATTGTTAAACTCATTGAAGATTTGCATCCACACAAATGTGTTGAAGACAATGGTATCCAATTGCTTTTGCAGCTCCTCATTCGCGGCGACATCATAGTTAAGGATCTTTGCACCTGCGAAATAAAGCGTAAACGTCACAACGAGCTGGTAAATACTCTGTCCAATGATCATTTTCCACATTGTCATCGTAAAGAGCGATGCTGACTTTGGTGTCGGCTTGCGGTCTAGGATCTTCTCCGTTGGTGCATCAGTGGCAAGTGCTAGAGCAGCAAAGGTATCCATGATGAGGTTGACCCATAGTAGCTGAACCGCTGTGAGAACGCTCTTATTATCGTCGTTCGAAACGGCTGAGATGAACGTCAAGGCAACAGCAGTAATATTCACTGTGATTTGAAATTGAAGGAATCGCGCAACGGCATCATTGACAGCGCGACCCCAGCATATCGCCGTGACGATAGATTTGAAATTGTCGTCCAAGAGAATGATCGAACTGGCCTCTTTCGCAACTTCTGTTCCTGCGATTCCCATGGAGAAGCCCACGTCTGCTGTTCTGAGAGCAGGGCCATCATTCGTACCATCTCCTGTAACTGCCACGGTCTCACCAAGGTGCTTCAGGCGTGCAACGAGAATACGTTTATCTTCAGGCGATGAGCGCGCAAGGACTTGCAAATTAGGTAAGATACGATCCATTTCTTCGTCAGAAAGTTGGCGAAATTTAGGACCTTCCATGGCAGTTCCCTCAGGAGTTTTTATGCCACATTCGGTCGCAATGGCGACTGCAGTAGTCATATTGTCACCTAAATTAGAGAGTTAGTACTAATAAAGAACACGCAGGAACGGTATGAACGAACCGGTAACCATCTTGACTTGTACCCCGGCCATGTTGCACTTTTGGATGGCATTAGGAACCTCGGGACGTAGTGGATCTTGGATTCCAACAACACCAATCCAAGTCATATTATGGAAAATGTCATCAAAATCAGCCATAGATTTGTCGTCTTCTTGGGTTTTCGCGCCACGCGGTGGCCAACATTCGAAGTCCTTGTATACCATACCGATTGTCCGGAGTGACCGCTGGGAATATGAGTTGATAGTGTCGAGAACCGCGTCCTTAGAATTGGCTTGGAGGGGTTCAATTCTGTAGGAATCCTGGGACAAATCGGAGATAACTTGGGTCGCCTTTGCGAGCATCATCTCAGCAGCACCTTTCACATGGAGTCGGTAGGACCCATCATCCTGACGAACAACAACGCCCATACACTTGCGAGCTGAATCGAACGGAACCAGCTGGGTGATCTCGGCGTTTGCCCGCTCTTCTAGCAGTTTCAAACCAAGATAATTATGCACAAGTTTGTAACATAGCCACTTCGGTTTTGCTGCCGATAAATGTGCGTTGCCCGTTTTCTTCACCCTCGAATGCAGTGGAATTCAGCGCAACCGCTTTCACGACTAAATCCCGGACGGTGGACGACGCGCACTGAGTCGCTGCGACATACTTGATGGACCGTCTTCACTTTCGGCTTTTT